CTGGGGAAAGACTTTGTGCTTGGAAAGGTGGAGGGTCAGAGAACGAAAGGAAGCCCCTCAACAGCATGGACTGACACAGTGACTGTCACAATGGACTCAAGCGTATCAGAGATATTGAGGATAGCACAGGATAGGGCCAGGTTTAGATCCGTTCATGGGGTCACTGTGGGTCATAGTCAACTCGAGAGGCCTTAACAACAAGAATTGGATCCAACCCAGCAAAACAGGGTTGAGCGATTCTAGTAGCAAAGAGGTCCCTGGTAAGGCAACAGGATGAGCTGACCCAAGCTGAGAGTTCTGGCTTCTGAGACCTCTGCTAGCCGAAAAAGCAGAACACTGATGTGAAGGAAAACTTGTGTCTCCACAGCTCCCCCTAGGAGACACGCAATGAGCACCTGAATTCCACAGTAATGTTAATTACGATCCCTAATGGTTAAACCCTGTAGCACTGTGGTTAAAGCACTCAACTTCTAAGCAAATGGTCAGTGATTCAAACCTCCCCACCCAGCAACTCCACAGGGGAAAGATGGTCTGCTTCTGTGAAGATTTACAACCTTGGAAGCCCCACGGGGCGGCCCTGTAGAGTCACAAGAAGTTAACCTTGACTCAGCTGGCAGTAGGTGAGATTGGATAAGCCACGAGCTCTTTCTTGCCTTGTATTTTTGTTCCTTCTCTCTGAATTCCGGAGCCGGATGTGGGTCCCAGCTCTGCCTCTTTCTACATATCTGTCGGCAGCCAGGTTATGGTTTTGTGGCTGTGAAATTAGAATAAATGACAGCACTTAACATGTCAGGTGATTAGGCGCTGTGGTAGCCGTGTTGGTGGGAAGTTGCGCTGCCAGTCCAGAGGCAGGCAGTTCAAATCCACTCTCTGCTCCGCTAGAGAAAGATGGACAGCCTCTCCTGTGATTTACAGCCTCTGGCAACCCTCTGGAGGGTCAGCTGTGAGTCATTTTTTACTTGATGGGGAAGAGTTGGGCTTTTTCGAAAGTGTCAGATGGCTGTTATTGTCCATGCGTCATAAAGGTCACCTTAGGTCACTGCGGATTATAATTGCTGCTGATAACAAATTAATACTCGTTTCACGTCATTTTCCATTTAGCTCGTTATGGACTGTGTGGTGGACACGGCTGTGCCTAATGGATGAGCTGACTCTGCCTCAGCTGTATTTTATTTTCTTAGAACTAACGCACTTGCACTTGGGGGTTCCGTTTTCAGCATCTTCTTCCTTTTCAAACCTTTATCACCCAGTCCAGTGCTTTCACCCTGGAAATTAGGGAGACTTGGGCAAGGCAGCTGTAGTGCCACTTGTTTTACTGAAATGGGTTGCTGTCAAAATTGAGGAAAAGAAAAACAAGAATTGTAGCACCTCAGAAAACAACACCCAGCTGGCTCTGTAGGGCCCGGTGTTTACCAAGCTTTGATGCACAAAGAATAATCTGAGGATCTTGCTAAAATGCAGATTCTGATTCAGCACATCTAGAAGTTAGCGCCAAGAGTCTACATTTCTGTCAGACTTTCAGAGGTCTTGGTAGTGTGGTGGTGAAGTGCTTAACTGGTGACCAGAAGGGTAGAGTCACGGACCCACTGACCACTGTGCCGGGAAAAGATGGGGCAGTCTGCTTCTGTTAAGATTTACAGTCGTAGAAACCCACCGGGCCAGTTCCACACTGTCCTGTAGAGTTTGGTACAAGTTGGAGTCAACTCAACAGCAGAGAACTATCAGGCTTTCAGATGGTAACCATGCTGCTGGTCCGAGGACTGTCCTGGATGTAACCAGACCCTCAGAATCGCGTTTAGGCCCTGGCCCCCCATGTTGTTGTTGTTATTATTATTGTTGTTGTTATTATTATTATCATGTGCCATTGATGGCCTACGACTCATAGCAACCCTGTGTACAACATCTCTGAACCCTGTCCTGTCCTGAGCCAGTCTCACTGATTCCAACAACCCATCTCATCTGGGGTCTTCCTTTCCTGCGCTGTCTCTCCACCATGGCTTCTTCCACAGTGAACTCATAACTCAACAAGACCCCCTCATGCTGGGTTGGAGGAGCCAGGGACGTCTCGCTTTGCCCCCAGCGGGCTGGATCTGAGCAGTTCTCTGTAGGCAGATCTTCCCTTCTCACAAGTGTATTGTTTTAGTCTGAGAAACCAAAATCAGTCTGGCATTCCTGGGTGAAGCTTTAATGTGATTATAATTTCAACACTTTTTCTGAATTTATATCATTCCAGTCTGTCTTCTAGTGAGAATTCAGCACGTTTACAAATGTATTCACATCATGGGGGGGAAATTAGAACATTGTGCAAGTATCTTTTTTTAAAAAGAGAGAGAGAAATGATACAATGGTTTGAGAAATATTTTAGACGAGCTCTGGTGGCCTAGTGGCAAGAAGCTGTGCTGCAATCCCAGAGGTGCACTGTTTGAGTCCACCGGATGCTCTGCTGGAGAAGGTGGGACAATCTCCTCCTGTACCAGTCAGATCTTATTTGATGGTACACACACACACACATACACATAAATAATAATTTAAAAATTTTTTCAATCAAAAGAAAGATGTTTAGATGCCCTTGGCTTTGGAGATTGTCTTATGACCTAAACTTTGACGCAATAAAAAGCCTTCATTTGTAACAGAAATGCTAACAAATTTCCATGAAGAAAGAAGCCTGACCGGAGGTTAAAGTGCTAACCCAACAAGAGGGTCCACAATCTCTTCCCAGAGTTCTGTCAGCTTTAATCAGTGGCGTGTCAGGCACGCTGCTTGCCTCCGTTTCTGTCTGTCCTCAGTAAAACTGAGGGAGCACTTACAGCTTGGTGGTAAGAATGAATTACACTGCCAACTCAGAGGCATATGGTTCGAGTCCAGCGGCTGCTCCAAGGTAGAAAGGTGGGTAGTTCCCCTCTTTTCTAAAGCTTCTGTGAACCTCTTCTAGGGTCAGTGGTACCCAGAGCCAACAATTGATGACGTAGACCACAAGGTGTAGCCCTGCCACAGCGGCAGCTGTCAGTTCAAATACAGAGGCCAGGTGAAGGTTCACATCTGTCAATTTACACTGCGTCTTCTGAACCTCGTCCTGTGACACACCGTATTCATGATCTCCATCAAGTCCATCGTGATAGTTACTGTGCTGGCCCGTCTTTGTGAGACTCTCCGTCTCTTTTGCTGCGACATTTCCCAGCATGATGTCCCTCTCCAAGGACCAGCCCCTCCTGTCAACATGCAGAGTAAGTGAGATGAGGCTCCACCGTCCTTGCCTCCCAGGAGCCCTCTGGCTGCACTTCCTTCACAAAGACAGACTTGTTTATTCCTGTGATGATCCTGCATGTATTCAGTACTCTTCGCCAACACCACAATCAAAGACACCGACTCCTCAGTAATGCTCAGTCCTCGCCCAACTTCATATTTATATAGGGAGCAGTTTCAAATACTGCACCCAACTTTCATATTTATATAGGGAGCAGTTTCAAATACTGCACCCAACTTTCATATTTATATAGGAAGCAGTTTCAAATACTGCGACCTGGATCAGGTAGACTTTAGTCCTTAAACTGACATCACAGCTCCCTAGCACTCTGGAGAGATCCTTGAGGGCACATTTTGTCAATGCAGCACATCTTTTGTTTTCCTGATTTCAAATGCCACGGGAACTGAAGTGGCCAAGTAGCTAGGGAACTGTGCTGTCAACCTAAAAGTGAGAGGTTCCAGTCTGCTGGCTGCTTCAAGGGCAGAGTCAAGCAGTCTCCTCCCATGTGATTTACAGCCTCTGAAAACCTGCTGGAGGGTCAACCATGAATCCATTCTGACTCGGCAGCCTGTAACCACAGCAACCACAAGCATGGACAAAGAAAGAAGTAAAACAAAGCAAGAACAAAAGGGGTTGACTTTTGAGTGGAATACCAGATCTATTGATTGTGGATCCTAATAAAATGAGATCATTGGCAATCAGAGCAGCCCATGTGGCTGGAAGGTTGGGGGGTGGTGATGGCAGGAGAAACAATTTCTCTTCAAGGACAACTGGGCTTGTTCCTTGTTTGTTTGCGGTTCCCTTCTGCTTCCCCCCAGCTCCGTGGCCCCTCAGAACTGAGCCCCGTCTCCTTGTACTTGTGGGGGAGGATCAGACTGCAGGTTTGTTTACATTGCCATCTTTTTGGCATCCACTTCTTCTCTGTAAAGCCTTTTTATTATTATTATTAATTTTAATGCAACATATATGTCACATTTAAACTTGTTATGCATCAGAGAGTTGAACAATGACTAGGGAGGATAGAAGGAGAATTGACGCCTTTGATCTGTGCTGTTGGAGAAGAGTGTTGAGAATACCATGGACTGCTAGGAAAACAAACAGATTCACCCTAGAGAGGGTTAAACCAGGCTGCTCCTTGGACATACTTTGGTCGTGTTATAAGGAGAGACCAGTCCTTGGAGAGGGCCATCATGCTTGGGAGGGTGGAGAGACGCACAGGAGGCGAAGACCCTCTATGAGGTGGATTGATTCAGTGACTGGGGTAATCGGGATGGGTGTGTCAGAGACAGTGCGATTGGCACAGGACAGAGCAGAGTTTGGGGCTGTTGTACATAGGGTCGCTGTGAGTCACAAGTGACTTGACGGCACATACCACCACCACCATATATTTTTTACAGCATATTCTTTCCATTTAATTTTCCCCCATTCATTCACTGTTGCACATTTTCCTCCCTGCCTCACCCCTCCCCATTCGTTTTCTCTTTGAAAAGAAAAAAAAAATCTTTCATTATTATACAGTGCACCCCCCCAATCCACAGTCCACTTTACTATGCATTTCTTTTTCTGTCATCTTGTCATGAAAATAATACTTAATCCTATATTCCTTTTAAACAGCTCTCTCCCTCATCTGTTCCAATGCAGTAGACATTATTTATCCCCTGTTGGTTTGTTTGTTTTTTTGTTTTGTTTTGTTCTCCCAGCCCCGATGTCTGTAAGGCCATTTTGACTTCTTTTTGTCCTGTCTGTTTCTGCCCAGGCTCCTGAGGACGCAGTCTCTGGAATGGTTCTACAATAATGTGAAAAGCCGCTTCAAGCGCTTTGGCAGTGCCAAGGTCCTGAAGAACTTGTACCGGAAGCACAGGCTGGAGACTGGAGCGTGCTTCGACATCTTAGGTACTCTGACTGCTCTGGGGCTTCCTGGGGGCTTCTGGGGGCAGAAGACGTGGTTCCGAGGTTCTGTACATGGTGGGCACAGTCCCCTAAGACAGGAGAAGGAAACTTTAACTGTCTGGCCCTGACGAGGCAGAAATAAAAGGACAGATGCCAGGCACTGTGTAGTCACTTTGTTCTAACCCCCCCTCACTTGGTCAGGGCTGATACGCTTTGAGCACTGAAGTAATCTTTGCAGACTGTGGATGTTTTCACTATGATTAATTAGGCATTACAAAGGGAACTCTGTGGTGCAACCACTATGGAAGGTTGTATGGCACTTTCTCAAAAAGTTGCAAATAGAGATAACATTTGACCCAGCAATTCCACTACTGGGAATATGCCCCAAAGAGACCATAACTGACATCCAAGCAGATGTATGCACACCCATGTTTATCGCGGCTTTGTTCACAATAGCAAAGAGCTGGAAACAACCTAAGTGCCCATCAACAGATAAATGGATAGAGAAGTTGTGGTATATTCACACAATGGAATACTACACTGCATTGAAAAAAAGGAAGTCATACAATATTATTCAAAATGGGTGACCCTGGAGGACATTATGCTGAGTGAAGTATCTCAGTCACAAAAGGACAAATACTGCATGGTGCCACTGTTGTAAAACAGGACTGACATCGGGGTTGGGGGGAGACTGAGAGAGATGGGTTCAATAATGTATACTGCATTGAAACAGATGAGGGAGAAAACTGTTTAAAAGGGATATGCGATTAGGTATTATGGTCATGACAGGAGTCCGGAGAGAAGGCTGCATAGTGGAGTGGACCTGGGGGGAGAGATTGTAAAACAATGAAAGAATTTTTCTTTTACTTTTCCAAGAGGGTAGTGTACTGGGGAGGGAGCAGGGAAGGGGAGAAAAGTGCAACAATGAGTGAATGGAAATCCAAAGTCTCTGTAGATTTTCATTGAAACTAATAATATTTTTTTTAAAAAAAGGGAACTCTGATAGCTAATAGTAAGGGATTGAGCTGCCAACCCAAAGTTGCCTGGTTCGAACCTACCAGCTTCTCTAAGGGAGAAAGATGAGTAATTTATTGCCTTGGAAACCCACCAGGAGGTCAGCTATGGGTCAGTTCTGACTTGACAGCATACAAAAACAGCAATGCTTAAAACAGGGGGGAAAGAAATCTTCACTTGGTTGCATTCATAGGCTCTGACACCCTTACACTCTACATACTCCAAAATTTTAGCCTCCCCAGGCTAGAATTTTGCTGTGGTAAGTGGTAGACTGATCGAGTTAGGAAATTACTAGCTTTCTCCCAGGAAGCTTGAAGGATAAATTTGACTTATGCTGTTTTTGAACAGCTAAGACAACCAAGTCAATGAAAACGAGAAATTATATTGAGTTCTAGGGAAAAAACCCTAGTTGTCAGTATATGGACAGCATGTCCTCCATGTTCAGTCTGCCTAAAGGCAGAATTTTATTTTTTTTTTATCCCCGTCACTTTGCTGACGCAGGTAAATGCTTTTTAATCTACAAGACAGACACAGAGAAGGGAAGAAAACTTGTTCCATCTCATTTAGATTTTTCTGTTCCTCATTATTACACATTGTTGTATTCTCAATAAAGTCTTTGGTTGTGTCTTATCTAAAAATATGCCAGCCACTTAGACAAGCAGGAAAATAGGATGGAAGCATTAAACAGAGAAAATCATTAGTGCCTTTTGTGGTGGTTGTTAGAAGCTGTCTTTCAAACCGTTCAAGAAGTCTGTGGCTAAGAGAGCACGGATGAAGGTTTCCATGCATTATTTTTATCTTCTCCTTGCTGAACTGCCTAAAAAAAATGAAGATCCTCTAGAAATGGAGTCTTTTTTAAAAAAATAAGCTGAAAAATGCTGTTATCGTGGTTTTTCAATCAGAAAAGATGTCCCGAGAAGGTTCCAGAGTGAAAGTGACTCACTCGTTTGACACCATCCGTTCCTCCCTTTGTTTCTTTGAGCTTGCTTCGTGGACCCTGTTAAATAACACCAAATTAAAATCTGCTGCTGGATCCACATTTGGGGAGCTGAAGAACACCAACATGTGCGGAGAATCTGCGTTCTCTCCCTTGTTCTTCAAGTCCTCATAGTGGAGAGGGCAACTATGAACCCCAGGGGCAACAGCTTAGGGCTTTGACGTTTCCAAAAGGCATTTTCAAAGGAGGCGCATTTGCTCTGTTTGCTCCGAGCACAGCAATTCCCTCCTCTTTCCTTTAAGCCTCAGGCAGAGCACTCACCACATTGCCTTCAGGTGATGGTCTGCGCTGCTGTGACTTCTGGGAGACTAGGAGGTGTCAGCTTCCTTCTTTTTGTGTGTGTTTCCCAAGTTCAGTCCCTTGGCACACCTCAGATCTCAATATTGGGTTAGTCTGACCTTAAAAGCATTTTGTGAGTACCAGCAGACTTTATAAAATTATTGGAACTGGTTACTTTGACGTGATATTACTAATTACACTAAGAGTTTCTTTGGATGGGCATGAAGTCAAGTAGGAAGGAGAGGTTTTGAGATAGTATTCAAACATGAAAAGCTAAAATAATAAAACAATGAAATTCATTCTACAGATCATCAAGAAATTTAGTTACAGTTCAAATATGGATGAATCTTTCAATGTAAAATAGCCTCTTGGTTGTGTTAGTTGCACTAATTTTACATACCACATGTTGTTGTTGTTGTTGTTGTTGTTATGTGCCGTCAAGCTGCTTGTGACTGATAGTGACCCTGTGTACAAGAGCCCTAAACCCTGCTCTATCCTGTGCCAACCTCACCACCTCCGACACACTCACTCCCACCACCCCAATCACAGAATCAATACATCTCATCGAAGGTCTTCCTCTCCTGCTCTGTCCACTCTCCCAAACATCATGTCCCTCTCCAAGGACCAGTCCCTCCTTGCAAGATGTCACCTGTCATCTTCAGTCTGTATTGCATGTTAAAATCACCTAGGGACCTTTTTGTTGCCAGGAGGGAACAGTCCTTGGAGAAGGACAACACAGGAGAGGAAGAACCCAGGTGTGATGGATTGACTCAGTGACTGGTGTAAAATGGGTCAGGTTTGTCAGAGGCAGTGAGATTGGCTCACAATAGAGCACCACCACATCAAAAGCTTCCTGAGTGCAGCATTCACGTGAGCTCACTACATGTACACGTAGCAGATGCCCCGAGCGTTCTCGCACAGGCGCCCCGCGCATTCACACACAGGCGCCCCGAGTGTTCACACACAGGTACCCAGGTGCCCCAAGCATTCTCACACAGGTGCCCCGCGCGTTCACACACAGGTGCCCCGAGCGTTCTCACACAGGCGCCCCGAGCGTTCACACATAGGTGCCCTGAGCGTTCACACACAAGTGCCCCTAGCATTCACACACAGGTACCCAGGTGCCCCGAGCGTTCTCACACAGGTGTCCTGCGCATTCACACACAGGTGCCCTGAGCATTCACACACAGGTGCCCCGAGTGTTCTCACACAAGTGCCCCAGGACAGCCCTCACCAGAAAGCAGGCAGTGTATTACGTTCACCAAACGCTGTTGCAGAACTTAACATCATGGCATGAACTAAGACAGTTAGATCCTTGCTTTCTGTGTGTCTGTCACTTAGTATAGCCACTTGCTCATCTAAGCCCTACTTGGATACTCAAAATCTGGAGAAGACCAGAGAAGAACCACTGAGCCTTTAAAGATCAAATCCATGATGGACCTTGTCTTCCTCTGGGTTCATTTCACATGCACTTCTGCCAAAGGAAGTGGTGGTGAGAAAATCATTAGCTAAAGGCAACATACTTTGGACATGTTGCAAGGAGGGACCAGTCCTTGGAGAGGGCCATCATTCTTGGGAGTGTGGAGGGACAGCGCAAGAGAGGAAGGCCTTCAGTGAGATGAATTGATTCAGTGTCTGGGGTAATGGGGGTAGATGTGTCAGAGATTATGAGCTTGGCTCAGGATAGACCAGGGTTCAGAGCTGTTGTAGATAGGGTTGCTATGAGTCACAGGCTATATGATGGTACGTAGCAACAACAAAGGCAGCTGTTTGGGTTGATGCCACAGACATTAGCTTTGTTATTCTTGATTTTCTAGTTCAGGAACTAAGATTAGACCACTTAGCAGAAGTCATATAAATAACAACTTGCAGGGCTGGGAATTGAACTCCCATTGTCAAGACTTCAATCCCTTGTTGACTTTGACTCCATATTGCCTTCACAGAAGGTATTGAAAGGACAGTGGTGGTGGCGGCAATATGCCTGCAGTGGCCACTGGCAGACAAAAAATATGACAGCTCTTTGGATGTGCTGTCAGGAAGGTACATACCTCTCGTAGGTAACAGAACTTCATTCCTTCCTCCTCCTTTGCTGAATATGACTCCATGCTGTACAGTCCCTTGTTTGTTTACCCATCCATCTGTAGCCGTCATTGGGCATCTTGGTGCCGCAGTTTTCCTTTCTGTAAAATGGGAACAACAGTCACACGCTCCGCCTGCTTTCATTAGGATTAGATGAGATGTATGGATTGAGATGGGGCTTTCTTTTTTTTAATTAAATTTTATTAATTTTAATGAACATTTACAGAAAAAAATTATGACAGGTCAAAAATCATATCATCATCATGGAGCCCAGGGATTTCCTAATGTTCTTTGTGAAATTGACTTAGTGCTTGTGGATCATAGTGGCCCGTCTAGTCAGTGACAGGCTGTGCCAGTGTTCACTGAAGACTGGGATATTCATTTCTCTCTTCCTTTCTCCTTCTTTTTCTTTAGGAGGAAGTTTTTTTGAGGCAAACCTGGAAAATGAAGGAAGCCTTTCAGGCAGTGACTCAACCTTCTATAGGCAGTCAGAGGGTAAGATTGCTTGACATGAGTGGCAAAGTGGAAGTGAGAGGAGTAGAAACCATACCTCTGCACAACTTTACCCCAGTTGAAATATGATACCAAAAATGTGATGGTGCTTTTAAAAAAGTGAAGTTCATTTGTATTTGTCTTGCACTTATGGCTGAAATCATAATCTCTGGAGACAAAAGGTCCTTAATTCAAATCTCACCATGCAACCTCAAGCAAGTTGGTGGGTTTTTTTAGAACGAAATTTTAATGTCTACACAAAAACATGTACATGAATATAACAATGTTTATCACGGAAGATAAAGAAGGTCACTACATAATGCTGAAAGGGTCAATAGAACAAGAGGACATAACAATAATAAATATCTATGCACCAAATAAAAGACCA